ACCCACAGTGACTGAAGTTGGTTTAACAGCTGTACAAAATCCCACCCTCTAAGTATTTACTGAACTGACAGACCATTAGGAGAAATTCAGGTCCATTTTGGCATTGACATTGACATTTATTTGAAATCGTTAACTAAGCAACTGCTTTTTCTTATTTCCATTGTTAATTGTTAAGAAACTGAAGAAACAAAGTATATGAAAGGGTAGATCAGTCTTTAATGACCAAAAACAAATGAATTTATCAAAAACCATAACCAAAATGGAACAGGTACAATATGGAAAAGGTAGAAGAGGGAAAGACGAAAGAAAAAAAGATGCTTTCCATGACAGCGGTCAGTTCTAATTTAGCACATGGTGGTGAGTGGAAGTGGACCAGATAATGTCTTAACACTGAGACTTGTGTCTGGCACCAAGGATGCTCCAAAGTGGATTTCAAGAAGATTATTAAGAAAGCATGAGGAAGAAAGAGTAGAAGAAGTAAGTTAAAGAAAGACAATTCACAGAGAAGGAGGAATATCTACCAGTGGAGTCACCTGGTACTGACATGACTTAAACAGTTCTGAACCCTATTTCAGCAGAATATAACCATAACCTAACAAACCACACACTAAAAATGGAAGATCACCATTTTAGATTCAGATCAGTTTTTAAATCTGTCTGTAACAACAGGAGTCACGTCCTATGATCAATACTGAGACAGATTCATCCATTCATTTTTCTATCCACAAAGTACAACAACAGCCTTGTTCCCATTGGTCGACTATTCAGGAGACGCAGCAGGGTTTTTGTACTAGTCTTTATCACTGTGTATATTTGGGGTGGCACAGTGATGAACAGCCATACAAAAACCCAAGGACGATAAATCTCTCTGTCATCCATTTGTTTTAGGGCAAGAAACGTCTTTTCTCATGTTAGATGACCTCACTGACTGAAGTAAGTACAACCTGCCCTTTATTTTGTTACACAGACTGTTAAAACTTAGTTAACTGACCATAAGATGTCCTGGTCGGTGCTGAGCCAGCGAGATTTTCTCTCAGCAAAGCTCAGTGTAAAACAGTGACAAAGATTCAAAAAATACAGGACTTGAGCAGAAGTCGGCCGTTGAAATCAGACAAATCTGGATTTGTGTGGTTTTCATTCATTTTCTGGAGTTTTTGTGGTTTTAACTGTTGCCTTGTGTTTTTGTTTATCAACTGCAGTGAAATGTAACACTGTGTATTTGGACGTTTGGGGCGCAGGGACTGAAGTCACCGTCCAGTCAGGTAAGTCTCATTTTAACATCAAATTTCACAGATAGAACTTTAAATCTAATTTTCTTCCTGTTAATTTAATTGTCAGTGAATATTTTTTCACTGATGTCCAACCTGTTAGTCATCAGTAGATGAACTGGAGCTTTAAGACTGTTTCTTAGAAAGCACTTGGAAACTTCCTCTTTTTCATCAATGTCTACTTTTATATTACATTCAAACACTGCATTACTTTAGTAGAAACGTTTACACTTGGACACAGGTGTGTGTGTATGGAGCAGTGCAAGAGGACAGCAGCGTTTAAATGAGCAGTGTGTAAAGAAAACATCCAGAATTTTTGTCTCACTTTTATAAAATTCCCCATTTAGAGTTCCTCCAGTTTGTTGTTTTCTCTCAGCTCTTTCCAACTCTAAAACTCTGCAGCTTTTATTTTATATTGTTGATGAGCTGCTGCTTGTAGAGAGAAAACTGCAGCAGTACTCTTTTCTGTTTACTACTACTAATATACTGTTAAAGTTTTATAAAAATGTGTTTGTTTCCGTCACCATTTGATCGTGGAGTTTTTTTTTTTAAGATTTCTTTGCACAGGGTCCTATTTATTTCTGAAGCAGGACATTTCTCTGCCTTTGTGCTCTCTTCTCTTCTTGTCATTTTCTGATCATTTCCTTTGTTTGATTCACTTCCCTGAAACTCTTTCCACAGAACAACCAACAGCTCCGACCCTGTTCCCAGTGATGCAGTGCATCAGCGGTACAGAAAGTAAAGTAACTGTTGGTTGTCTTGCACAAAACTTTTCACCTAAGAGGATATCCTTTGGGTGGACCGATGACAGCGGGAAGAACCTGGCTGCACTTCAATACCCATCAGCTGAAGTAAACAACAAATACACAGAGGTCAGTTTGATCGAGGTTCCTAAATTGGACTGGGATTCCGGGAAGCCTTTCAAATGTTCAGTGACCCATGTTGGCTCTTCCCAAAAACTGGAAGTCCAACTACAAAGTAAGTTATGTTTTACATTTTATTATATTAGCGGTGACTTTGCATTTTCTATTCATCCTGACTTAGCACAGACAGAATCAATCTAAACATGTGTCATACTTCTTTAAATCTCCAACAGTCAAAAACGATAACACTGCTATTGTTTGAACTGTTCCAG